GAAATTACAGGTAGAAAAATCTTTATTGGAAAAAACTATATTTAATTATCAACAGACTTTACAATCGGTAAAAATAGCAAAAATCGTAAAAAAAATTGGCTAACTTCGTGGTTGATTCTTTTGGGGTTTATTTTTAACCACCCTTGAAATTTCATGGGAAGAACCTTCAAATGCTAGAGAATTTGTGAAATTATACTTAGAAAGCTAAATTTTACTTATAAAATTTGGATGCATCGATCATTTGATCTACTATTAAAATTTTCAACATGTAATTATATTTATCATTAGTTGGAGACCACGTACAGTACATCGGTGCGATTTACTCACCCGAATAATAAATAGAAATTCAAAGATGAAGTCATAATGAATGATTACCTAAATGCACACATTACTTCACTTGTCGTTTCTTCGTGAAATCTTCAGCACCATTAAACCACCTTTAAGCAATGTCTCTAACTTTTTTCACTTTTAACTTATCAAGACATTAAAGACTTCAATGCTAATTATTAAAATAATAAAAAATTTATTATTCGTTTTCATTATTCATTTTAGTTCCGTGATTATTGTTTTTTATCTGAAAGATTAAATAGTACATGTTTTTATTATTTGAACAAATAAATAAATAAATAAATGAATTAATAAATAAATAAATAGAATAAATGTTTTTTTTTACAAATAAAAATAAAATAAAATGATTTTTTTTACAAATAAGCAAGCTAAAAAAAGTATAAATTGTACATAATATTCATTAAATAATAGTTTGTTAAATAAGTTTTTTATAACTAAGTATCTACCTTTTTATTTAGCTAGCTACTAATAGATTATTTTTATATTTAATTCGTCTTTTTTTAGTTTTTCATATATTTTATAAATAGCTACTTCCGCAGGTTTTTTATTTTGATTGTTTAGTCCTTTTTTACCAAGTTGAATTTTTGTTCGATTTAATTCTATTTTTACCGATTGTAAAGTCTGTTGATAATTAAATATAGTTTTTTCCAATAAAGATTTTTCTACCTGTAATTTC